CGCCGCTGGTGCGAGGTGGGTCCTGCAATGGATGGATCTGCTGGTGGCGGTTGTCGCCTTGTGGCAGGGTGCAGGGGCGCAGGGCATCGCTGGGAGGGGCGTGTGCGTGCTGCGGGTTGTGCGGGGATCTTCATCGGGCAGCGGTTGCTGCCCATGGTCGGGGATCTGCTCTTCTATGGGTCTGTTGGCACCATGGTGGGAGCTCGGCGGTTGTAGGGGTCGTCAGTGCGGTTGCTGCAACTTTGGTGATGGCGGTTGGCATTCAACGGCGAGTTGTGAATAGAGGTGCGACCTTCCTTTGGGTATGTGCCGGCGGTGGCCGGCTGTACGCGCGACAGAGGTGGCTTTGACCTAGGGCTCGTGCTTGGGTGGACCAGATCTGGCCCCGAGGCGGGCCGGGGTTGTCGCTTCGGGCATGTAAGACCGGGCTCGATCTAGGTGGTGCCCGCGAGCGGTGAGGATACTCTCCTCCCGGGCACAGTGGGCGATGGTGGTGGTCATGGCATTGCTATGTCGGCAGACGGATCAACGCCTAAGGTTATGAACTTGGTGACGTATGAGCTCACCTGGGCCAAAACTAGAGGGCTATGCTCGGCGGCGCCCCTTGGTTGTCACTGGGTCGTGTCCCTCCGGTCCACTGGGACTGGCTAGGGATATAGGTGTGGGTGATTCCTCCCGTGGGTGCGTTAACCCATACTCAGTGGCTGATGTCAGGCTAGGAGTGGATGGAGGTGTCTCTACTCTTCCTACTCTGGTTGGTGTGTTGTGAAGTGGGCAGTTGATGGTGTCTCGAGACATGGATGCTGAAGCAGCCACTACTAGGGAAAATCTTACAGGCAGACGCTTACTAGTAGCGTAGGTTTACACCCCTCGCTACTGCTACTTACTAGTAGCGCGGGTTTATAACCCCCTCTACTACTAAGTTGATAGTAGTAGCGCGGGTTTATAACCCTCGCTACTACTAAGTGATTTCCCCCGTGCCTCTCGAGACCAGCCATAGTAGTAGCGCGGGTTATAAAACCACGCTGCTACTAAGTTGATAGTAGTAGCGCGGGTTATATACCCCACGCTACTACTAAGTGGTCTCCACCGTGCACCCAGGACATGCCATAGTAGTAGTGTTGGGTTAGCGTGGGGTATAAACCCAATGCTACTGCTAAGTGATCTACTTGCCGCCGCCACCTCCGCCTCTCACCCCTTGTCTGCCTTTGTCTCTGTGTTTATCCGGGAGATTGGATAATATGCCCCTCTTTACTTGGGCAGTTGATAATTTGTCCCTCTTTACTTTCGGTTGGATGATTTGCCCTGCTTTTCCTTTTCCAGTAGATAATATGCCCTTTTTAATTACTGTAATCATTTATCAGTTTTTATCCCAATTATCACCATGTGAAATGACCCGACTGCCCTTGTGGCAAATTGCAATTATGTCCTAGTCTCCTTCCCCGTGTCGGACTGTTGGTCTTTGCTTCCACTGAACAGTCCATCTCCCCAGTTCATCCCCTTTCTCCCGTTCCTCTCTCTCCCCACTGTACAAGTACTGAAGTGAGATCCTGGAGGAGGCCGACCAGGACAGCTTGGACCCCATCTTGGCGGCGGATACCGCTGCAGCTCGGCGGCGGGGGGCTGCCGTTAAACTCGGAGACGCGGGCTGGCTCCTGCAGGTCGGAGGCGCTGCAGCTCCTCTGCATCTCGGCGGCCCGGTAGCTCCGCTGCAGCTTGGAGCTGCGGAATAGGCGGATGGCGCCGTCGTTGCTCGTTTCGGCGAGGAAAATCCTCGTCGTTGCAGCTGCCACTACCTGCCGTAGGTGGCGTCTGGTCCGCCTGCGCAGGTACTCCATGAAGCTGGTTACTTTCCTCGGCAAGGGAGGCTCCAGCAAGACCACATCGGCAGCCGTTGTCGCTCAGGTAAAAAATCAATCGGTGCTTGATGCATCTGTACAAATTTTTGTGTGAGCTTGTTGCTACTACGCTACTAATAGCAAGCCTGAACGACATTGTTGGTAGTAATTAGCAGCTGGGCATGCTCCAATTGTCGGGCTGGGTACGCTGAAGTGCATTTTCTAATTAAACCACAAGTCAGGCATCTATATATGATGGTATGCATCCTTACATATGCACTTCGGTAGAACTTGGCAGGATATACCAACTTCATAGATAAAAAAATTAAACTGACAACAAGTATCCACTTAGTACATGGAATTCGATGTCATGAAAAGGACTGCTCGGTTCAAATGGCATAACAGTTTAATCTGAGTTTACATCAAGCAAATTAACAATAATTCTGAGTTCGTATCTCAGAAATTACATCTTCTTCCCCGCAAAAGGGCATATTATGGATACAGGAGTTGCCTCGTCCGGCACTCTGTGGAATCACCTCGCCGGCTGCTGGTGTGAACCTCGCTGTCCAGGGGTCGCCATAGTTGATGGCTTGGTGGCCGGCTGTCCAGGGGCCGCCGGAGTTGACGGCTTGGTGGCCGGCGGTGCATCCGCCTGTCCGCTGGGCACGGACATGATGATGCAACGTAATAGAATCAATCTACGATTTCTTGATCAGTTGGTTCTGTTGTGTATACCAACGTAAAGAGGGAAGGAGACTAGGACATAATTGCAATTTGCCACAAGGGCAGTCGGGTTATTTCTCATGGTGATAATCGGGATAAAAACTGAGAAATGATTACAGTAATTAAAAAGGGCATATTATCTACTGGAAAAGGAAAAGCAGGGCAAATCATCTAACCGAAAGTAAAGAGGGGCAAATTATCAACTGCCCAAGTAAAGAGGGGCATATTATCCAATCTCCCGTGTTTATCCTCCACTCCCCGCGATTCCCCCAACCAACCCCATCGCCGCCGCCGACGACCTTCTCTCCCCCAACCCCACCGCCGGCGCCCCCCACCTCACCAGCAGCCATTGCCATGGACAGAGCTGCTGCCTCTCTCGGCGCCCGAAGCCCTAGCTCAGGCCGCCGCGACCCACCCGTTGCGTCCCACGTTCACGCGCGAGATTCCGACCCATGGCGATGCTCGATCCAGGTAGGCCCGAGGAAGGAGAGCAGTTGGCTCCCTTCCTCCTCTCAGGTGAGCCTGAGCGAGCACCCCTCCCCCCGTGACCACAAATCCACCCCCAGTTCCTCCATCCTCCCTCCAGTCTTCGACGCTGTCGCCGCCCAGCCATGGAGTACCACCGCAACACCTGGTATGGCGCACCACGGCCACCCATCGCCGGTGACCTCCCACAGCTCTGACCCTGGCTGCCTCCTAGCACACTGCCGCTTCACCAGCCTCCCCCTCCCCACCTCCTCCGCACCGCCGCTGGACTAGCGTGTCGCGTTGCCCTCAGATCTAGCTTCCAGGAGCTGCCACGGTTGTTCAGCAGGTAGCAGTGCGTGCATCATTGGTCGTGTGTGCAGTCCGCATCCCTTTCGCATGCCTGCACTACGGTTCCCTGGTGTAGTTCAATGTTTGGCTCTGCCTCCCCCTGTTTGCAGCTCCTTTCAATTATTTTGCAGCTCACTGGATATATTTTTGCAGTTCATTGTGAGAATCCATGGCGCTGGTCGCGCCGCACCTTTTCCTGCTTCTTCTCGTCTGAGGCGAGCACCAGCGGTACGTATCAGCCCTCTTCTCTATGGTGCTGGCTAGGTAAGAACTAGGGATCTATGGCAGCAGCTCATAGATTAGAATTAGATCTGATAATTGGAGATGGATTCCTGAACCAATTTGCAAATTCGTTGGTGATTTCAGCGCTTATACTTATTTGGTTTTGGTGCCTGGTCGGACCTTCTCTATGTTAGTTCCTTTGCTTAGCCAAATCAGTTAGGGATATAGCACATCCATGATGTTACGAGGTGTTGATTGCCTTCTAGCAAAAATCTGGAGCGTTGGGTATCTCTAGCTGCAAACTGAATCTCGTTCAGTTAAAAACTGCACTGTCAAATCTGGACAGCCAGCTTCTAGGTGAAAACGAGTTAGTTATTCTCAGAATTTCGAGTTGCCTCTATATGAAATCTGTAAAGCAAGTTCCAAGCTTTCTATAGAGTATTTATTTGCGTCGTTTGGATGTATGGTTTGAGAGCAGCCATCGTTTTAGTTTGCTGTCCCGAAAGTTAGTATCCTGAGCGCATTGTTTTCATATGCCGGTTTACGGCCTTGTAGAGGTTGTTTTAAAAAAAGTTTCAATACGAATTTTGTAGAGGGTTTGTAGTAGATTGCAAGGCCGATTTCAGTTTCAGTTTGCTCCACCGCTGTGAAAGGTGGAGGAGCCTAGATTGCAAGGCTGATTTCAGTTTCAGTTTCGATCGAGCCTAGATTGCAAGGCCGATTTTAATCTAGCACTCTCCATGCAGCTCCCCAATAATTGTAGTCAATTGGTTGGACAATCTTCTTGTTTTCATCATTTTTTTCTAGTTATATACGTAGTTGGTTGGGATTATAATGCTATCTTTGCTTACTGTTAACTGTCCAAATTGATGTAGAAAGATAAACAGTTGTTGATCGCTTCCACGATTGTCTGATAGAAACGTCAATTAGTAAGTGAAAATAGACGTTTGCGCCTACTTGTATTTTATAGCAGTTTCTGGGACTGTGACATGTTGGTCATCCTTCTGTGATTGGTTATATATGGATTATATATGTTAGGCCTGTGGAAAAGGACTGAAGAATCCATAGCAAGAACTGAGAGGCTATATAATTTTGCAGGGGCGTACATGTTGGGGATTTCTTATTTGCGCGTCCATTCCTTAGTCGCCTTACGAGTTTATCGTTTGTTCCACTTAAAATGTCCACAACTTCTCTGAACTTTCCAAGACCACCTCCTTGTTGATGTGTGTGCGCCATATGATTGCAGAAAGCACCTGGGATAGACTAAGCAGAGTGGTGCCTTAATAGCTTCTTGCATTTTGTTGCACTTGCATCTCAGCAATTACACTAAAATCTCGTTTCTCTGATCGTGCTACTGACATGTCTGTATATTTCTTGGCAGATTAACATATTCAAGTCAAGATGGTTAGGTTTGGGAAAAAGTTGACGGCCGGCCAAGTTCCAAAGTGGAGAGGGTACGATTCAGGTTTTTTTTTTCACCTTGTACTGACCTGTATCATTGAATTCTCCAAATATTCTGTCAATTGCTTCTGTTGAAACTTATCTCGATTTCTTACCATGTTTACTGAACAAGAAGATAAAGAAACATTGCAATAATTGAACATTGCAATTGAGTGCCCATCTAATTGGTGTAAAAAAATTGCACACTTGGCCTTGGCTACCAATTTTTTAACATTGCATTGCTGATTCAATGTTTACAGTTACTATATAAATTACAAGCTGATGAAGAAGAAAGTAAAACAATATGGGCAGCAGCTCCAACAGGGAGAGAAAGACCGTTGCCGTGTTCTCAAGCATTTCTCAAAGATGCTTGATGATCAGGTAATTCTAAGAGATGGATCTCTGCCAATTCATTACTTCATTCTCCCTGATCTGAGTTTAACCTGCAGACTTTAGCTTTTGTGTGGTGTGGACAGTGCAGTGACAGGGGTTGTAGCCTTGTGGGGTTTAATACATGTTTCTTACTGCAGCTTTAAGCTTCACTGTCATCTAACTCTTTCTAGTTAATTTTTGTTATCTGTCTTTGAACCTATAAAAATGGGTGATCTGTACACTTGTCATCTCCTACATGTGTTTTCTGAACATGTCTAAAGCTTTTATAAGAAATGCAGTTCTGAGCTCAGGCAATCGTAGGATGACTAGACACATACTACATATGATTTGAGATGTATATGTATGCTAATTGATGTTTCTAGGGGTGCTCATATACTTCCTCAGCAACATGGAAACTTTCACATTTGGTCTAGTTGTCTCTATGGGTCAGCGACTTAGCATACATGTTGTAATAAACTTTCACATTTGCTTCTCTGACAAGTAAGGTCTGTTTTCATTCATAGGTAGAAGATAGCAACAGAGTGGGAAGGTTTGTGTAGAGATCTTACCTCGAGGTTATCACAGATGCGCATAATATGACACTGAATTGGCCAAAAATAGGGGGCTACAAGATGAACTTTTAAAGGTTGGTTCCATTTTCTGTATATGCCTTGTACACTCTTATATTCTCCCATGATTGAAGTCTGCAATGCTTATGGGACAATCTTTGTTTGTAGGTTAAGACCTCACTGCCTGCTTCAACGAAGAGATTTGAAGAGTTGCAAAAGGTAATTTTGGGGCAAATTTCCATTGCTGCAGGATAATGAGATGTTGAAGCGGCAGACTGAATCCATGACACCGAAGTGCAATTGCGGCAGATTATCTCTATTTTTTCTTTTCATTTTTCTTATTATTGGAGTGATAACAGGTAGAATGAGGAACTGTGTGATAGTAGATACAACAACTGTAGTAGAAAGAAACTTATGTTTGCAATTGTTAATGACATACATACTTGCATGTTCTTTGAAGTGGTCAATCGTGAGTACCAATGCATAATGATGGGGTTTTGGCTCATTTATTGGCTTTGGTGTCCAGTTAACCATGAAATAGGAGTCCATGTCAATTATGTATGCTCTTACTGGATGTGTTCTAATGCTGGTTTATTATAAATCTTGTATTTGTAATGATGTGTACTGGTTTATTTTTTTTAATTCCTAATAAGTTAGTAGTAGCGTGGGGAGGAAACTGAGCGCTACTAGTATATAGGATACTAGTAGCATTGGTTGTTTGCCCACACTACTACTATTTCATTAGTAGTAGCGCGTGTACGTAATAGCAGTAGCGCGGGTGGCATACGCTACTACTAACTTTAGCGCGGGTTTAACTCACGCTACTACTAACTTTAGCGCGGGTTTAACTCACGCTACTACTAACTATTAGCTGTAGCGCGATACTAGTAGCACGGGTACCCGCGCTGCTAGTAGTCATTTTACCTGCGCTGCTAGTAGCCTTTTTCCTAGTAGTGAGCGGCCCTGGATGACGGTTTACATTGTTGGATCTTCTACGAGCACCATGGCACCATGGCAGTGGTCGTGTGAGCAGTGAGAGTGTAGCGACGTGTGGCTCAGGCTTGCTCTCTGTCGTTGGCAATGACAACGTTCAGATTCAGATCTGGAGACTAGTGGGCATCAAGGTTGTCCTGGGTGCCTCATGGTGGCACGTGTGAGCTGTTGAGTGAAAGCTTCATGCTTTGGCCCCGACGGCTCCGACGACCACGGGTGCTGCTCTCCTCTTGACACGTTCGTGCAAGGTTCCGCGTGAAGATCTTTGTCTGTCTTAGATACGGCAGCAGTGATATTTAGCGTCGTTCCCCCTCCCAAGGGCGTTATGTGGAGCTTAAATTTTTAGCACATGTTGTGGCGTTGTATTCAGGCCTACCTATATTATTTCTCGCCAATGTACTCGCACGCGTTTATGTCATCCGGTTATCACAGGGTGTGCTTTGTAAGACGGCCTCCTCACTATCTTATATCGTTTAGCCATGTACTTTGGTTTGTGATTTTTCTATAAAGCGAGGCGAGAGCCTGTTTCGAATTAATTCATAAAAAAATGAGGACTTAAGCTTCAAAAGATTCATTTTCTGCTCGAATTTAAGTAGCTCACACACATTCTCCTTAAATCCTCTCTCTGCCCTTCTCACTGAAGAAAGGCTCAACCGGCGGTGAGCCATCAGATAGACCCTCCTGCCCGTGTAAATTCACACCAAAGCCCATCGCAAATGCTAAACTCCTCCCCACCATCCCATTTCTCCATAAATTGTTGATGTTGCCGCTCGAATTGACATGGACCACCGCGATGTCTACTACACAACTTGTTTTAGTAGACTCGTGTTGGGCCTCCAAGCGCAGAGTTTTGTAGGACAGTAGCAATTTTCCCTCAAGTGTATGACTTAAGGTTTATCAATCCGTGGGAGGCGTAGGATGAAGATGGTCTCTCTCAGACAACCCTGCAATCAAATACAAGAAATCTCTTGTGTCCCCAATCCAAATACAATGGTAAATTGTATAGGTGCACTGGTTTGGTGAAGAGATGGTGATACAAGTGTAGTATGGATACCAGATATAGGTTTTTGTAATCTGGAAATATGAAAAACAGCAAGGTAGTAAGTGATAAAACAGAGCACAAACGGTATTTCAATGCTTGAAAACAAGGCCCAGGGTTCATAATTTCACTAGTGCAATCTCTCAAAAGTGCTAACATAATTGAATCATATAACAATCCCTCAACATTTAACAAAATGTCACTCCAAAGTTCTTATCTAGCGGAGAACATAAGATGAAATTGTTTGTAGGGTACGAAACCACCTCAAAGTTATCCTTTCCTATCAATCTATTGAGCTATTAATTCCTATAAGTGTCACGAACATCCCTAGAGTTCGTACTAAAATAACACCATATGATACGCATCAACCAACTCTAGTGTCACCTAGATACTCCAATGTCATCACAAGTATCCGTGAGTCAATTATACGATATGCATAAAAAAATCCGATTCATAATATTCAATCCAACACAAAGAACTTGAAAGAGTGCCCCAAGATTTCTACTAGAGAAAGTAGGACGAAAACGTGCATCAACCCCTATGCATAGATTTCCCCAATGTCACCTCGGGAATCCGTGAGTTGAGTGTCAAAACATACATCAAATGAATCAATATAATACTCCATTGTCACCACGAGTATTCATATGCAAGAGATACATCAAGTGTTCTCAAATCCGACAAGTATTCGATCCGATAATAGTGAAACCTCAAAGGCAAAAGCTTAATTCATCACAACAAGATAGAGAGGGGAAAACACCATATGATCCAACTATATTAACAAAGCTCACGGTACATCAAGATCATGTCAAATCAATAACACGAGAGAGAGAGAGAGAGAGAGAGAGAGATCAACACATAGCTATTTGTACAGATCCCTAGCCTCGAGGGTGAATTTCTCCCTCCTCATCATAGTGGCCGCCGAGATGATGAAGATGGCCTCCGATGATGATTTCCTCCTCCGGCAGGGTGCCGGAACATGGATCCAAATGGTATTTCGAAGGTACAGAGGCGTGCGGCGGCGGAGTCCAAGTACTAGGGTTATTTCTGGTGGTTTTCTCTATTTATAGGATTTTTTTGGTGTCGGTCTCACTCTAAGATGGGCCACAGGGTGCCCACTACCCAGCAGCCCACGACCAAGGCCCCTGACACGCACTGGTGGGTACTGGACATCTCCTTCACCTTTTGGTCCTCCCACAAAACTTCTAGTGCCTCTTTTGTTCCAAAAAATAATCGTCAAAAAGTTTCGCTGCATTTGGAGAACTTTTATTTCTGCACAAAAAACAACACCACGGTAGTGTAACATCCCAAATTTTCAATTTGGAATGTTATACAATATATCATTATTGCACATCATATTTATTGCATTTTGGCTCGATCCTAGAAATTCTACGCAACTCAAGGACCCATGGAGAGAGTTGGGGATTTCGTTATTTTCATATTTGAGTTTTCTCAGATTTTGAAAATAGGATCATTTGATTTTATTTATTTTATCTTCAATTATCTCTATAAAGAAAATCTGAGAGAGGGAATAAAATGACTTTCCCAAAATAAAGAAATCTTGAGGATTTAATAATAAAATCAAATAAGATTTTGTTTTGGAGTTTATTGCTATTTTATTTGAATATAGGAAAAATGCGCGTTTTTCAAAATTGCATTTAGGCCCCAAATAAATGTTCATCTAAACCGGCTTGATTTTAGAAGTCGGGGGAAATTTATTTCGGGATTTTTAGAGTCCATTTAGTATTTCTTTTAATTGTTTTTCAGCGCATAATGTTAAAAAAAAGGAACCGCCTTACCGGGCCGTGTCCGACATGGACACTGTGCCTGGGCGGCATTTAAAGGCCAACGGCTGCCCCGGGCCGAAACCCTAGCCGCCGCCCTGCCCCGCCTCGAGACCCGCGCCGCCGACCCGCCGCCTCGCCGGAGCCGCCGCCGCCGCTGCCGCCCTCGCCGGACTTGCCGGAGGTAGCCGTCGCCGCCGCCGGTTTTCTTCGGAAAACTGTACGGTTTTTCTTTTAGATCTGCGGTTTATTTTTTTGTTCGTTTTTTTTTCGATTTAGTTATTTAGCGAACGCCCGTTCGTTTGTTCGTTTTAATGAACGATTTTCTTTTTTTTCGCAGACAGCGAACGTTCGTTCGTTAGCCTGTTCGTCCGTTTTTCTTTTTCTCGGATTTTTCCGCGATTATTTCTGATCGTGATTTCTGATCCGATTTTTGTTTTAGTATAATTTTTCGCCCGTTTATCGGAATCAGGCAATTCAAGCGCCTAGAGTTTCATCTTGAAACCCTCTTTCCATCTAACCAACTCAAATAAGTTTTTGCTACTGTAAAATTTAACTTAGGTCCAGATTAGTAAATGAAGCTTGCTTCTTTCGCCGTTTGACTTTCGTTGCTTCGTTTGATTTGATTCTTTTTGCAAACCGGAGTTCTTAAGTTAAACTTTCTGGTTAGATCTCTTATTTGAGTTTTACCTATGCATTAGA